GAAGATTTTTAAAGATTGCATTAATTTTGATGGTTTTGGCCCCACCCCTCAGGCCCCAGGGGGGCAGGGGCCAGGAATTTCATAATTTTTGTTCCCCTTCAACCATAGATGCTATATACCAAAATTGGTTGAAATTGGTTTGCTGGTTCCAGAGAAGAAGCTGAAAATGTTTAAAAGTTTACGACCAACGACCGACCGACGACGCATGACGACCGACGAAAAGAGATAGCAATAGGTCATCTGAGTGACTCAGGTGACCTAAAAATTGAAGATATATCTTTTATTCCTGTCAAACAATTTCATGAATTTACCTCTGGTACTGATAAGATCATAAGAACAATTATGACCTTCAAATGCAAGTTTCATTGGTTATAATGAATTGTGACAAGCCTTTACACTTATCATAGAAATTCTGATACCCTCCTTCCCATTAAAACTATAAACTTATATCCTACACATATACTAATGCTTCAAGGTTTGATTAGAGATTTGTGTACTTTGTATTATGACTGTTGTTAATGAACATCAAATATCTCTTTGGGTCAAGGTACTACAAAATTTTTGGGTAGTTAGCATTAAAATTACTTTTACATTCTATTCACAAAAAACATCATATGGAAGGTAAAATCTCCAGACGAGATAACTGTGTTCCCATTTATTGTGCACTCCTGCATGACCATGTATTTTTTTACCTTTAAAAATTGGTTCCTATATTAATCTATACTAAAAAAAGTCAAAACATTTCCATTGTTTTACTGAGCGGTCATAAAAAACAGATGTTTGACTGCGGAGTGAGATATTGGACCTGTCAGTGAGATATTGGACCAGTTACGTCACATTGTGGGCGGGATCAGCTAAATATCATTTGCATTCATTGGTGTTTGACAGTGATGAATTTAATCACAGTGTGGGTAAAGGAATTTTACTTCATGGAAGCCAGCACAAAATACATGTATGTCAAAAAAAAAGAAGTAAATAAAAGGTATAACAAAACAATTATTGACTGTGTTCTCAGGCAGAATGTGTTTTGTCGACCCCTCGAACCGAACAGTTTGCCTTCGGCCTAACAGCTTTAGGCAAACATTTTGGTTCTTGGGTCTGACAAAACACATTTTTCCCTTGAACTCATGAATTTATAATGTGAACCACTAATATTTCAATGTAATTACGTTGTATGAAAGAGGCCCATGGGCCACAATGCTCACCTAAATTACGTTCTTCATCAGCATACTTTTTTTCTTATATATTCCCATGTAAAACTCTGATCATATATTGTGGCCCCAATGTATGACTAGTAGGTCATAATTTGAAAAAAACTTGAATCTACACTACCTGAGGATGATTGCTTCCATATCAATATGATTGAGCATGGCTTTGTTGTTCTTGAGACAACATGACTAAGCATGACTTTGCTATTTCTTGAGAAGATTTTTAAAGACATTTCCCTATATATTCCATTGTAAAATTTTGATCTCCTACTGTGGCCCCACCCTACCCCCAGGGGCCAAAGTTTGACCAAATATGATTCATCACTACGTGAGGATGCTTCCATAAAAATTTGACTAATCATGACTTTGCTGTTCTTAGAAGAATTTTAAAGATTTTTCCTATATTTTCCTAGTAAAACTTTGATTATCAATTGTAGTCCCACCCAACCCCATGATCTGAACAAACTTAAATCTTCACCATGTAATGAAGCGTTCATAGAAGTTTCATCTTTTAAGGCTTAGTGGTTCATCAGAAAAAGATATGTGGATAAACTTAAATCCCCTTCACCCAAGAATGCTTTGTGGCAAGTTTGACTGAAATTGGCCCAGAGGTTCTGAAGAAGTGGAAAGTGTGAAAAGTTTACAGATGACACGGCACACGACAGACAGACAGATGGACGCTAGACACATTTTGATCAGAAAAATTATTAATTTTAGCTTTTTTGGAATTTCCAAGTGGATTTTTAAGTGTTTTTGCTTTAAAGATGGATGAATTTAAAGTAATCTAGATGCTGTTGATGAATGTAAACTAATGGCAATCTAGATGCTTTTGGTGAATATAAACTAACAGTAAGTTAGATGCTATTAGTGAATGTAAACTAACAGTAATCTAAATGCTATTGATGAATGTAATTTTATGGTAATCTAGATGCTATTGTTAAATGTAAACTTATAGTAATCTAAATCCTATTGGTGAATGTAAACTTACAGTAATCTAGATTCTACTGTTAAATGTAAACTTAAGGTAATCTAAATGCTATTGGTGAATTTGAACTTAAAGTAAGCTAGATGCTATTGGTGAATGTAAACTAACAGTAATCTAAATGCTATTAGTGAATGTAAACTTACGGTAATCTAGATGCTATTGGTGAATGCAAACTTACAGTAATCTAGATGCTATTGGTGAATGTAAACTTATGGTAATGTAGATGCTATTGGTGAATGTAAACTAATAGTAATCTAAATGCTATTGGTGAATGTAAACTTACAGTAATCTAGATGCTATTGGTGACTGTAAACTTACGGTAATCTAGATGCTATTGGTAAAGGTAAACTAACAGTTAGCTAGATGCTATTGGTGAATGCAAACAAACAGTAATCTAAATGCTATTGGTGAATGTGAACTTATGGTAATTTAGATGCTATTAGTGACTGTAAACTTACGTTAATCTAGATGCTATTGGTGAATGTAAACTAACAGTAAATTAGATTCTATTGTTAAATGTAAACTTATGGTAATCTAGATGCTACTGGTGAATGTAAACTAATAGTAAGCTAGATGCTATTGGTGAACATAAACTTACGGTAATCTAGATGCTATTGGTGAATGTGAACTTACGGTAATCTAGATGCTATTGGTGAAGGTAAACTAACAGTTAGCTAGATGCCATTGGTGAATGCTTACTCTAGATGCTATTGGTGAATGTTAACGAACAGTAATTTAAATGCTATTGGTGAATGTAAACATATGGTAATTTAGATGCTATAGGTGAATGTTAACTTACGGTAATCTAGATGCTATTGGTGAATGTAAACTTACAGTACCCCGGTAATCTAGATGTTACTGTTGATTTAATTTCTCTTATTTGTTTGACTGTATCTGCCACTGTAAATCACTTTTTATTTCTGAGAACTTTATTTTCACATAATTATTTATGTGAGACTATCTGCTTGAAAAAATTTCATTCTAGCATATAGATAAAAAGATTACATTTAAGCACTGAATTCTTATTTTTGGTTGTCGTCAGTCCTATAAAAGCACCTGGTCATGCCAACAAATTGAATACTGCACAAACAATTCTACTATTAAAGATTATATAGTCTTGATTAGAGCAATAACAAAATCATGAAAATTTTGTTTCAATATAAATACCAAACAACATGTAACAGGGCTCGACATTAACGCTTGTCCGCTTGTCCGGTACCAGTGAAAAAAAAATTACGGACAAGTGAATATTGCCGGGCACTTGTCCGATTGGACAAGTGCATTTTAATGTAAAAGAGTCTCTAAATACTAAAAAGAACGACTGTTGAAAGTTTAGTTTCAAGACGGAAGCTGTACATAAACACCGAATTTTGATCCCGATAGAGATCGTTAATTGAGTTCACATTCGATTGGGATCGAAGTTCACTAATTGCATACTACTGAAAAGGCATGAAACTTACGAACTTAACGAATGTGGACATTTATGTTGTTGTCAGGACAGAAAGTCTAGATAAAATTTTGTTTTATGTGTTTTTTGTATTTGTCAATAACATCATGAATCAATCAAGCACATGCCATGTGTAATGGACTTTATTTTAGTTTTAAAGTTGACAGTATTAGATCTCTATTGAAAATTTTTCGGACAAGTGAAGTTGAAGTTCGGACAAGTAAATGTCTTGGTCACTTGTCCGAATGGACAAGTAGGGAAAAAAGTTAATGTCGAGCCCTGATGTAATCTCATTAAAATAAGGTGTCACAAAATTTAGTCCTTTACAGTATAACTGCATGTGCCTCCTTTTGCTTTGCAGCAATGTGCTGCTATTTTACATCTTTGTGTAGCTATGGATACATGTACATGTATGTTGCTATAGGCTACCAATTTATTTCTGCTAGTTTATTGTAGTGAAAAGTAACCTATTTATTACTTAAGGTTACTTATACACTCACAACTTGTAATTTGCATTATCCATGTGCATTCTTATACTCCTAGGCTAATTAATTTAATTAAGATTAGATTCTTTGATCTGCTTACTTAGATCAATGCACAAAGGATCTTGCGATTTCATATTAGGGTTCATCTCTGATTGAGCTTATATCTAAATATAAAAGCCAATGGAAATTGCCAATACAGTTTTTTTTAATTTCATTTCTTGAACTGAAAGCACGACCGCTTGATAATACACAAAGACTTGTCAACATGAGGGATCATACAGCATTATTACCAACTGGGTTTTGACAATTTTCAGTATATCAATTACCTATATCTGTTAGTCGCCAAATGCATTCCAATAGACACCCCTACTTTTAGAAGGTGATGTACTGATTGGTTAAATGAAAGATTTATCTAAATCATTCTGAGAAGAACCAAGGCAGAATATTTGATCTTTTGTGTACTGATCTAAAAGAGCAGAGCAAAGTATTACATTTTATGTAGATTGCTTGGTTGCCATAATCTGTATGTTACTATGAACTCATTTGAGATGTAGTAAAATATTTATATAAAGCAAATGATAATCTGTGTTGCTAATGATTATCTGTATGTTATATATATATTATATTATCTGTATGTTATATATATATATATATGTTATATATATATGTTATATATGGTTATTTGTATGTTGCAAAAGATTATCAGCATGTTACTAGTGGTTACCTGTATGTTGCAAATGTTTATCAGTATGTTGCTAGTGGTTTTACTTGTATGTTGCAAATGTTCATCAGTAGGTTGCAAATGGTTACCTGTATGTTGCAAATGTTTATCAGTATGTTGCTAATGGTTAACCTGTATGTTGCTAATGGTTTACCAGTGTGTATCCTAAGGTGTTGCTGCAAGTGACAAAGCTGCTTAAATCCTTTATCACAGAAGGAGCAAATGTGCCTGCGTATCCCAGTGTGCACTAGGCTGTGCTGAGCCAGCTGCTGCTTACTCTTGAAGCCCTTGTTACAGTTTGGACAGATATGAGTACGGTCAGGGTGGATGGTGGAATTAACCTCCATAAAGGGCTGGTCACTAGAGGACAGCTGGGGGTCATCTGCTGATAGGTCAGGGTTATCGGCAGGGTGTGGCATACTCAAATCTATAGAAATAAATATCAGTGAATGGCTACTATTAATAGATACTATTACCTTGATTTGTACTACTACTAAAGATGTCATATTAGAATAATGGTTATCTATACTCTGTTATTTTCCAAATGGACTTAATAATTAGAGTTTATGTTTATAATGAGGTACCAAATTAAGGGTTGTTAATATTTTGCCAATGTGACACTAGCAATAAATTCATGTTTACTGTAATTTACCACAAGATAAATAACTGTCAATCTATTTTATTTAATTTTTAAATACACTTGTGTTGCAAAGTAGGAACTAAATGGCATTTTTTTCAATTTATTTACTTAACTGAAATGCACTTTAGAGAAAAAATCCAATATCTGCATTATGTAAACTTTACATGAAATATGAACAACAATAAAAATCTATGATGTTTGTACTTTCTGCACTTTACTAAAATTTCAATTCTCAACAGCAATGTTTAAAATGAGTATGCATCACCATGGTAGCCACCTTCATTTTATGTTACTAGTAACCAATAAGAGATTTAATGCAATACGTGCAGCTTCACTATCCCAATTCTGTATCTAATTATAATGTAACTAATGGTGAAGCTGTACAAGTTTTATATTCAGAGCTTTCAATGAATGAGTTTATATGTTTGCGTTAGTTATGATCATTTTCATAACCGGTAATTAAAAACAAGAGGCCCATGGGCCACAATGCTTACCTGAGTCACTTTGACCCTTCTGTTCTTCAGATGAACAAAAGAAGATTTTCAAAATATTTTTCCCCTCTTTATTCTTTACTCTGGCCTCAACTTAGCTCAAGCTAGTCAAGGGATGGTAATTTAATTGAATTGAATTCACACAACATTTGGATGCTCCAATATCAATATGACAGGGCCCTGCTGTTCCAGATAAAAAGAGTTTTCCCACATATTCCCCTATATCTTTTTATCTAAACTTTTGATTTCCTATTTTTGTCCCAGTCTATCCCTAGTGGACCTATATTTGAACATTTTGAATCTGCACACCATCTAGAAACTTTCACTTAAGTTTAATCTTTCCTGACCTAGTGGTTTTTGGGAGGATTTTTAAATGACCCCACCCTATTTTTTCCATTTCTCGCTTATCTCCATCAGAAGGGGGCATGATCCTTTTATTGAGCAACTTGAATCCTTTTCATCCAAAGATACTTTGTGCCAAGTTAATGTGCCAAATTTGATTGAAATAGCCCAGTGGATTGGTTCTAAAGAACATGAAAAGATGAAAAGTTTACAATGACAACACCAAAGGTGTCACTGCCTATGACACACTAAAGACAAATTTTGATCAGAAAAACTCACTTTGAGCCTTTGGTTCAGGTAAGCTTAAAAATATGATGCATCTGATCAAGATAAATACTTGCAGATGTAAGAATCTCTTTTACTCCACTCCTCTTAGATCCACCAATTATAATATTTAACCCTCAAAATACATAATGTATTTAATTAAAAAGGTAAACATATTTCTTCAAACAGCCTAAAAAGACAACCGCATGTACTCTGACTTCATCTCTTACAAATAATTTTCTCGGCAACCAGTGACCTATTTTACAAACAAAAACTTACAATGTATGTTTAAAACTTAAGAGAGACTGAAATCATATTATTTATTGTTTTAGGTATTAATTTCTAAATGATTTAATAATTAAATGAAAGATTACGCTGAACAAAATTTACTTGATGGCAGGATGAAAATTTCATGAAATATGAGAAACTCAGTGTGCCAGAATGTTTGACCTCCATTAACTATTATCATTAAGAATGATGCAACTGTTTCTCAGGACAGGGCCTCAACTCTAAAACGTTTTCTCAAAGATTTTTTCCCTCACTTCCAATTTATTTGCCATGTTAACTATTCAATGTTATGATTGCATAGATTAGACTTACATCTTCCCCTGTTTATTTTACATTTCCATTACATGGAACTTGGCCCATCCTTTAACAGTGGAACATTTTATCTAGATTACCATGATTACCAGGTATTGAAAAGTCCCAGAAAAGGCTTAGGAGCATTTTTTATTACAATGACAAATGTTTTCTCTGACTTTAAGATGCACTCAGAGAATGATACCCTGAAATAAGTAACATACAGTATGTGAGCATTGTTTGGTATGCCAAGGATAGACATGTACTTGTATGGGATATACCTAATAAACCTCAGGTTCACAAGTATACACTGACAAAACGTCAGAAATACCAGCTGTAGTATGTAAAATTCACTAAAGAACATCATAAATATTCTACACTGACATAAAACATAAGCAATAATGTTTTGATATTATATTATTATGATGATATTATTATAAACATTTTACAATGCACTTAATGAATGTACTAGGTTTGATTTTATAAACCTATTAAATTGATGAACAAGCATTGTTTTAGATACCTCAATCCCTTCTTCATCTTAATCCTCACATCTGTTTGTCAATTGCTACTTACCCTGTGGATTCCTTGGGTACTGCGAGGCACTGCTGGGCGTATCCACTGGCAGGGACATACCTCCTATAGAGGACATGCTGTAGGGAGGTCTGCCCGGGGGTGGGGGCTGAGGGGGTGGTACCTGCTGCTGTCCATAAGACAGGAGGGCTGACACAGCACTAGCAGCCTCTGACATATTGTCCCTGTTGGTAGACATTAACCAGTAAGTTAGTAACAGTTTAAAATTTTCAAACCATGGGTCCATCATATATGAAGGTCAAAGTCGTAATCCTCTGAAATGAATTTAAACGCTTGGCTGGTGAAAGTTGTTTACTTTAAATTCCACTTTTATTTTCTCATTGCATTCACATTTAAAGTACACCTGTTCACTCTTCAGGATTGGGTTGGATGTGAGCTTGTGGGACTCGATTTTCCTGACTGCATTTTTAGTCTCTCTGTTCATTGTCATGCACAATCATTGTCATGTTCTCCTACTCGCACAATATATTCCCTTTTTTTTTTTTAAAGTTTCATTGCTTTTTTTTCTTTCAATAAATGCTGCTCTTTACATATTAATTTCTCTTGAGAGCAGTAGAATTTTTTTTTAAATGAAAAAAAAAAAAAATTACATAACTCTGGGGCATCAATCATCAGCCATTCTTGGCGAAGAAAATAAAATGGAATTGCCACTTCCATTAAAAATTTCTAAATAGTACTTGAATTTTCTATCTAAACTCTGATGTGGCAAACTTGTATATTGATCACAGATATAAATTTCCATTCACTATTATGTAACAGTATAAAAACCTGAATTTTAATTGATCACCAGCTTCAATTAATCCAGTTTTGATTGCATCGATCGAAGAATCTGACACAATTGTTTCACGTTTCTTTTTAATCTAAACTTGCATGATAATTACTCTGTTGCAATTCTGCAAGTTTTTTGAAATATATTAAAGTTTTACAAAAATCTCATCTCCTTCAGATAGAAATGAAAAACTTTGCAATCTGCTTTTAATGATACACATATCTTCTTCCCGATCATGCACATTCCAACAAATTCATCTTGTGCACAGATCTATTTTTATCAAAATCTACAGCATTCAAATATTGAGTTGAATTTTCTGATATCAATATCTTCCATCACCACTGGATAAATTGTGTATTACATAATACAAATCAGAAGCACATTCCTCCATTATTTCTTTTGACAGCTTGTCGACTAACACACAAACCTGCACAAATCAATTTTTTTCCAGATCATGTGCAGTTTTCTCAATGCATGTTTCAACTTCGATTAAGAGCCTAACACAAGAGTTCAGCATGTTAACCAAGACACAGAAAAATGTCTATTGGATTCGGGCATCTCCTGTGTGGAAAGGAAAAAAAAAGCCTCCAGGTTATGTAATCAAACGTTTGAATAATTTCCACAATTCACATGACAGCTCATTGTCACAGGTTATCAGCAAAAAGTGAAGGGGAAAAAAAATCTTTCAGACTAAACAAAAACATGTGAAATTCAAATGCCTTTATCTTTTCCTCCTCTATTTCTAACTCTCTGTTTTGAAAATACAGTACATCCTACATGCTTGAGTGATGCTTTTATATTTCAGTTTAAAAATTTTGTCCCCAGTGACAGGACGCCTATTCAGATTAAATATTCCCCATCAGGTTTTGTTGGTTGCTATATAGCCCTGTTTATCTACACATGTCATTCATTTTTTACCTGTTTTTACCTGTACACAGACTGGCAGGTATCAAGGCGCTCATAAAAAAATTACTGTATGAGTCATAAGGAACATGTTCAAATAGGGTGTATTCATTAAAATTTAATTCAAATTTTATTGCATAATATATTTTAATTGTTTTTTGCTGACTAAATTAAGAAACTTATAAAATGCTGAAAATGCTGTATGATCATTATATCCATATCAAAAGAAAAAAGACAGCAGGGATAGACATTAACTTTTAGATTCACTTGCCCTTCGGGCAAGTGAACTCAAACTTTGACTTGTCCGAATGCAAAACTTGGTTGCCCAAAATCTAGAAAGAAGTGAGCTGGTATCTTAATTTATTATTTGTAAATAAAATGAGATATTATATTTGCAAGTTAAGTGCCAGAAAAAAATGTGATGTGCTGCTCATGCTACATTTTAAATACTTGTAAACTCACACTGCCATGCAATATTTCCTTTAAAATAAAATTCATATTTTTGAAATTATTTTCTGTGGATCTTTTTGTGAATTTTGATTTCCCCCCCCCTGAAAAACTGAAGCAACGCTAAAGGAAAACAGTTGCCATGTTTCGAAACATACATATACACAGAATACATGTAACTGGTGTTCTTTATATTCTGTGAGTTAATAAATTAACTATTTTATAATATCGTAATTTCATAATAAGAATGTAAAGAAAGTTGTCAAACGGAAAGCATATTTTTGTCAACTACCACGAAAGAAAAACGGAATAACAAACCCGATTTGTTAATAAACGGTATGATCTAGAAACCCTACAGAGGAATTTCCGAATGCAAAAACAATGTCATATTCCTGGTAGAAATCAAATGTTCAATTAATTGTAAGATTTAAAACAAGAGGCCCATGGGCCACATCGCTCACCTGAGCACATTGGCTTGAATTTTAAACTACCTGATGATGCTTCCATGTCAATATAACAAATGGCTTTGTCGTACTTGAGAAGATTTTTAAAAAATTTTCCCATATATTCCTTTGTAAAAATTTGATCCCCCATTGTGGCTCCTCCCTATCCCAGGGGTCATCATTTGAACAAACTTGAATCTACACTACCTGAAGATGCTTCCATATCAATATGACTAAACATAACTTTTCTGTTCTTGAGAAGAAATATTTTTTCTATATGTTCTTATGTAAACTTTCCATCCCCGATTGGGCCCCACCCTACCCCTGGGGGTCACCATTTGAACAAAATTGAATCTACACTACCTGAGGATGTTTCCATATCAAAATGACTAATCATGGTTTGCAGTTCTTCAGAAGAAGATATTTTCCTTTATATTTCAATGTAAAACTTTGATCCACACTTGTGGCCCTGCCCCACCCCCGGGGATCATGGTTTGAACAAACTTGAATCTGCACTACCTGAGGATGCTTCCATATAAATATGACTCATCATGGCTTTGCTGCTCTTGAGAACAAGATTTTTCCTATATATTTCTATGTAAAACTTTGATCCTCCATTGTGGCCCCGCCCTACCCCCGGGGGTCATGGTTTGAACAAACTTGAATCTGCACTACCTGAGGATGCTTCCATATAAATATGACTCATCATGGCTTTGCTGTTCTTGAGAAGAAGATTTTTAAAGATTTTTCCTATATATTTCTATGTAAAACTTTGATCCTCACTTGTGGCCCCGCCCTACCCCCGGGGGTCATGGTTTGAACAAACTTGAATCTGCACTACCTGAGGATGCTTCCATATAAATATGACTCATCGTGGCTTTGCTGTTCTTGAGAAGAAGATTTTTAAAGATTTTTCCTATATATTTCTATGTAAAACTTTGATCCTCCATTGTGGCCCCGCCCTACCCCCGGGGGTCATGGTTTGAACAAACTTGAATCTGCACTACCTGAGGATGCTTCCATATAAATATGACTCATCATGGCTTTGCTGTTCTTGAGAAGAAGATTTTTAAAGATTTTTCCTATATATTTCTATGTAAAACTTTGATCCTCACTTGTGGCCCCGCCCTACCCCCGGGGGTCATGGTTTGAACAAACTTGAATCTACACTACTTGAGGATGCTTCCATATAAATATGACTCATCATGGCTTTGCTGTTCTTGAGAAGAAGATTTTTAAAGATTTTTCCTATATATTTCTATGTAAAACTTTGATCCTCCATTGTGGCCCCGCCCTACCCCCGGGGCTCATGATTTGAACAAACTTGAATCTACACTACCTAAGGATGCTTCCACATGAGTTTCATCTTTCCTGGCCCTATGGCTCTTGAGAAGAAGATTTTTAAATGATGCCATTATTTTTTCACTAATTCCTAATTATCTCCCCTTGGAAGAGGGCATGGCCCTTCATTTGAACAAACTTGAATCCCCTTTACCCAAGGATACTTTGTGGCAAGTTTGGTTGAAATTGGCCCAGTGGTTCTTGAGAAGAAGTCGAAAATGTGAAAAGTTTACAGACAGACGGACAGACAGACGGACAGACAGACAGACAGACAGACGGACGCCGGACAAAATGTGATCAGAAAAGCTCACTTGAGCTTTCAGCTCAGGTGAGCTAAAAACATATCTGAAATATTCACTTGCCCAATCGGACAAGTACATCAGCAGTTAAACTTGCCCGAACTGAGAATTTACTTGCCCTGGGCAATCAGACAACCATTAATGTCAATCCCTGGAAAGATTGTTTTATATAAATTATCCCCCTTCCAGTAATTTTTGTCTATGTTTTGTTTTTCTGATGTGTTTTAATTCAATTAAGTAAATATGCACATTCACAACACTTTAAAAGTGTTTCAATAAATCACTAGGTAACATGAAACAAATCAATTCAGAGAATTTATCCCCCCCCCCCCTTTAAGAACAAATTAATTGAGTGGAATATCTAAAAGGAATGCATGTGGTAAAGAAAAGAAGGAATGACCTTTCACCATTTAAAAGGAGTCTCTCTTTAGCTAGAGAGTCATCACCTAAGTTTAATTGCAAATGCTCAGAGAACTTATCATCTGGAAACAACTTAATGCAATATTAAAATTTAATATTTGTTGTTTTTGAAAAGTCATAGGGAATAAAAATAACTAGAAATATGTCCATAGGACATGAATGCCCCGCCGAGGGTATATTAGTGATGCAACATGGAAATTTGTTTTAGTGTATGAAATTTGATGAGAATATCTTGAAATTGAAATCTAAAAAGTTGGATATTGATGATAAATTCTCCCCAAATTATGTATAAGTGCATAAACTTACATAAATATATCTTAATGGTTTCTTTAAAATTAAGCAAAATGCTAATCTAAGAAAAGTGAGGTCAAGGTCACAGGAAAGTTCAAGGTCAAATGTTTTTGATGCAGTTGAGTACTTTTCACAAATTTGTATCAGTATATTTAAGCATATTTAAGTTTGATAAAAATATTTTGAATGGTTTATTTAAAACCGAGCTAAACACTTTTTTAAAATAAATGAAGTTAAGGTCAAGGTCAAAAAATGTTGATGCAGCTGAAAAGGTTACATCAGTATGTATTAGCATATAAAGTTTGATAAAAATATCATGAATGTTTTCTTTAAAAACTGAGTTAAACACAAATTGAGAAAAGTGAGGTCAAGGTCAAAGGAAAGGTCAAGGTCAAAAAATATTGATGCAGTTGAATAGCTTACATCAGTATGTATCAACATATGAAGCTTGACACTAAATTAAGAAAAGTGAAGTCAAGGTCAAAGGAATGATCAAGGTCAAAAAATGTTGATGCAGTTGAAAAGCTCTCATCAGTATGTTTTATCATATGAAGTTTGATAACACTG